CGATCCGTCCGCCTCGGGCTCCCAGAGTGCTAGGATTACAGGCGTGAGCCACTGCGCCCGGCCTCAATGAGTTTTTTAATTGGCATTTATATTGAATTTGTAAATATCCATGTGAATTTATTTTATTGAGTTATATTTTATAAATCATAAAATTTACCCATTTTTAGTATACTGTTCAGAACTTTACCAAGTGGTACAACCAGCACTATATAACATTTTTATCCCCCCACTAAGATCCTACTTGACCATTTACAGTTGATTCCCGTTCCCGGCCCCAGCTTCAGGTGACCACTGATCCGCTTTCTGTCTTTGTACATTTGCCTTTTCTGGACATTTTGTATAAATGGAATCACACAATATGTGACCCTATGTCTGGCTTCTCTGTTCAGCATAATGTCTTTGCAGTTCATCCATGATATAGTTCGTTCCTTTGTATTGACTTTTTAAAATATTATCATCGACCAACTATAAAACCTGCACAACAGCGTAACACTCATTCTTTTTGAACATATGTGGAACATTCTTCAGGACAGACCATATGTGACGCCATAAAACAAAGTCTTAATAAATTTAAAAAAGATTGAAATGATACAGAGTATGTTCTCTGACCACAATGAAGTTAAATTAGAAATTAACAACAGAAGGAATTTTGGGGAATCCGAAAACATTTCTGAATAACCAACTAATTAATAAACAACACATTTCTAAATAACACTTGGGTTAAAGAAGAAATTACAAGGGAAGTCAGATAATATTTTGATCTGAATAAAATAAGAGGAAAGCATATCCATATGTATGGGATGTAGCTAAAGAGGTTCTCAGAGGGAAATTTAAATCTTTTATTGCCTATGTTAGAAAATAAGAAAGACTTCAAATCAATAATCTAAACTTTGTATCTTAAAATCTAGAAAAAGAAAAAAAAAAAACTAAACCAAAGACAAACTGAAGGAAGGAATTAAGGTTAGAGTAAAAATTAATGAACCCAAAACAGAAAAACGGTGAAAAAAAATCAACAAAACCAAAAATTGATTTTTGAAAAGGTAAATGGAATTGATAAACTATTAGCTAGGCTAACCAAAAATAAAGGAAAAAACATAGTTCATGAAAATTAAGAATGAAAGAGAGGATGCAACCACTGACTTTTCAAAAAGTATAAAAGGATAATAAGGGAATATTATGAACAACCTTATGCCAACAAACTCAACAACTTAAGTAAAATGGACAAATTCCTAGAAAGTCACAAGTTACTAAAACTAGCACAAGAGGAAATATTTTTATTTTATGTAGGAAATATTATTGAGTATTCCTCTAACAACTAAATAAATTGAATTAATAATTAAAAATCTTCTCACAACGGAAAGCCTAGACCTAGATAGCTTCACTGCAGAATTTTATCAAACAGTTAAAGAAAAAATAAGACCAATACTTCATAAACTCTTTGGAACAAACAAGAGGAAGGAATGCTTCCCAACTCCTTCTGTGGGGCCGGTATCACCCTCATATCAAGGACAGAAAAGACATCACAAGAAAAGTGTAGACTAGTAGATATCCCTGATGAATATACACACAAAATTTTTTTAAAAGATATTAGTGAACTAAATTTAACAACATATACAAAAGATTATACACCATAACCTTTTGGTATTTATCCTGGGAATGCAAGGCTGGTTTACCCTCCGGAAATCAATATTATATACCGTATTGGTAGAATAAAGGACAAAAACCGTGTTATCATTGCAGTAGATGCAGAAACATTTTTGACAGAATCCAACACCCATTCATGATAAAACTGACAAAGGTCATCTACGAAAAAGCAACAGCCAACAGAATATTTAATAGTGAAAGACTGAATAGTTTCTTCCTAAGACTGGGAACAAGGCAAGGATATCTGCACTTTCCCCTTGTGTTCAGCCTAATACTGTAGTTCTAGCAAGTGCAGTCAGGCAAAGAAAAAAAGACAATAATATTTTTTACTATTAAATATTTTTCCTTATTTTCTTTTTTTCTCCTTATGGGATTATAATTTAACTTCTTATCCTTTTTTCTTTCTTTTATTCTTTGCCTTTCAAAATTAAGATTATAGGGTTTTAATTTAACTTTTATTAATATTATTCTCACATTCCCTTAGATGGTAGATAGTATTCCTTTTTTCCCTTTACAATGTTGTTTCCAATGATATTCTATCATTACTTAATTACTTTATTTTACAATATACATAAAATACTTTCAAAAATAACAAGACCAATATTACTACATAGAATGACAGCTAGATAAAGTTTACATTTTCTATTGTAGCTACAATTTACTTAGAAAGTACCCTTTGAGGATAAACAGTCAAATTTTGTGTTCTAAAATAATTCGATAGAGCTTTTTTTGATGTGTGGTTATGACACCAATTAGGTATATGTATTTTAATTAAGTTTCAAATTTTAGAAATTGTTTTTCTTTTTTCTTTTGATTTTTCTTTTTGAACAGGTGAGGTATTTGCAGGGTTCGCAACTCAGAACTACTGTCCACTGAGCTGCATTGCAGGGAGTCTTGCCTCCGTCTCTGCCTTGTCACTGTCCTTTTTCCTCCACGTGACGTCTCCTCCAGGTCACTCCACATCAGTACACACAGATCTTCCTCATTGCTTTTTTTAAAAAACAAGCATATAATTCTGGGATGTGTGGAAGTGTCATAGTATTTTGAAGCAGCCCCCTACCGATGGACTTTTGTGTTCAATCTTTTGCTGTTTAAAATAATGCCATGGAAAATAGCCATGTGTTTATGTTACTTGCATTTTGCCAGTATATCTTTGGGGTAGAGTCCTCAGTACAGGTGCCAAGGTAAATAAATGCATTTGTGGTTTTGCGAGCTCTCCACACCTCTTCTTCTGGGGGCGTGTTGCTTGTATTCCCTCCAGCAACGTAGGAGAGTGTCTGCGTCACCATCATCTTGGCAATATTGTCAAAACATTTGGATTTTTTCTAATTTTATGGGTGAGAAAGGGTCTCTCGTGTCACTTTAATTTGTTTTTCTTTTATTATGGGTGAAATAGAGCATATTTTCATTTATTTAATGTTTATTTACATTTAATTTTGGGTAACCCATCTGTTGGCCCATTTTTAAATTAGATCTTTATTCTCTATCTTTTGCTTCTCCTCCATCTTCTCTTAGCTTTTTATACAACGGTTGAATGCTTGAAGGCTAGGAGCTGTGTGCCTTTCTGCTGTGCTCACTAGCAGAAAGCTCCTCACGAAAAATTAAATCCAGGACCATGCCTGTCTTAGTTCTTCAGGCTGCTGTAGCAGAATACCACAGCCTGGGTGGCCTGTAAACTTTAGGAATTTATTTCTCACAGTTCTGGAGGCAAGAAGTCCAAGATCAACATGCCAGTGGATTCAGTGTCTAGTTAGGGCCTGGTTCCCAGTTATAGACAGCACCTTCTCGCTGTGTTCTCATATGGCAGGAGGGTCAAGACAGCTCTCTGGGGCTTCTTTTATAAGGGCCCTAATCTCCTCCCTCCAGCTCCACCTCCTAATCCCATCGCACTGGATGTTGGGGTTTCAGCACGTGCATGTGGGGGACACAACCGTGCCATCCGTGGTAGTGCCTGGATGCATATTACGAAGCCTGTGCAGCATCTAGTAGTGTGCTGCACCCTTAAACGTTTATGCCTGCATTACCTTCTGATCTCTTATAATGTCTGCCTTCAGAGCATCAGAATTTTAATGGTCATTTAGTCCTAACTCTTATTTTTATAGATGAGGAAGCTAGCTTTGCATTCTCAAATTATAGATTGATAGGTGAAACTTTATAATATCTTATTTGTCAGGTGAGAAAGTAAAGGGCCAGATGGGTGCCTCTTTGTATAGGAAGTAGGGATGGTGGTTCTTTAGTAGGGAGAGACTAGAATTTTTAAATCGTAACTCATGAGTTTCAAATCCTAGAATCGTGACCATCTTTGGGCCTGAGACTCTTCCATAGCCTTCCAGATGTTATTTAAGCAAGCCCAGATTTAAAAGTAAATGAAAACATTCTTCTTCCTAATGCCTAAATTTGATTTGAAGATTTTGGGGGATGAGTAAAACAGTATGGTTTATATGCAAATATTTTTTGTATTTCATGGGTTTTGTATATATATAATCCTTAAAGTTATTTTTGTAGTTTATAATCATTGGTGTTTACTTTGCCTGTTACTACACTCATAAAATATTTGTTGAAAGCATGAATAGTCATTGTAATTTTATCTTTTTTTCTTAGGGGTTCATGTGTCACACAATTAGGCCTTCTGGAAAGCATACATAGAATGTTCAGGAGGGAGGACCTGCTTTTAAGTGTCACTCGCCAAGCGTTTGTAGATCGTGTTCTCCTCACTCTGCTGTGGCACTGTAGCCTGGATGCCTTGAGAGAATTCTTCAGCAGAATTGTGGTGGATGCCATTGATGTGTTGAAGTCCAGGTTTACAAAGGTATCATATATCTACTAAATTAAATATTAATGAGAATTTACCAATCTCTAATGACCAGTGTCATTAGAAACTGCCATGTGCTCAGCTGAGTGGCATCTGCTGTTCGTGGAGCGTTCCCTCTACTCTTGATAACAGCCTGTGGCCACATGGGGTCTGCAATTGTGTCCTGTGGCTGCTGTAACAGCTCCCCACAAACTTGGAGGCCTAGAGCAATAGAAATGTATTCTCTCACAGTTCTGGAGGTCAGATGTCCAAAATCAGTTTCACTGGGCCAAAACCACAGTGTTGCCAGGGCCAGGCTCACACTGAGAACTCCAGGGGAAAGCTTTTCCTTGCCTCTTCCAGCTTGTGGTGGCTGCCAGCATCCCTCAGGTCTCTGCCTCTGTTGTCACAGTCCTTTTCCTGTCTGTCTGATCTCCTTCTACATCCCTCCCGTAAGGCTGCATGTGATTTCATTCAGAAACCACCTGAATGATCCAGAATAATCTCCCATCTCAAGGTCCTCAAATAAATCATGTCTGCAAAGCCCTCTTTTGCCACTTGAGGAAGTTACAGTCAAGGTTCCAGGAGTTGGGGCATCTTTCAGATATCTTTTGTGGGGTGAGGGCATGGGACATCATCCAGCCTCCCTAAGAATCATGTTGGAAAAGATCGTGAATACCCAAATGGCACATTATTAATGTAAATTTCAAAATAGTTAAAAATTTTGTGTTTTACTATGTTGGATATTCACCTGCTGGTCCCATATCTTCAATCAGATTGTGCAAACACTGTATACCCTGCGCTTACTATCTGAACGCGGTGTGTTATTTCCTATTCACCGAACATAACACATTAGTGCTTATAGCCACATTTTAGACCCTGGACAACTGGGTGCCCTTTTATTGAAGTGACTTAACATTTTTGACTTTTAAAGGTATTTCTTTCTAAAGTATTATTATTAAGTATTAAATTGGATGTGAATTTCAATAACATTTTTCATGTTTGATAAGACTGAAGATAATTGTTTGTTATCTCTTCTAAGCTAAATGAATCTACCTTTGATACTCAAATCACCAAGAAGATGGGCTACTATAAAATGCTAGATGTAATGTATTCTCGTCTTCCAAAAGATGATGTTCACTCTAAGGAATCTAAAATTAATCAAGTTTTCCATGGATCGTGTATTACAGAAGGAAATGAACTTACAAAGACACTGATTAAGTAAGATTTTACTTAATTTTGGGTTTTATTTGATTTTTTAATGTTTTTGGCGCATACATTTTTATGCATGTATGTCATATGTTTGTTTTATGTAAATAGTAACTTTTATAGTTTTTTTATGTACAAACTACTGAGGTGGACTTTTAGTGTGTTATTGGATTATAGACATTTTTTCTTGTACTCATCTTTTCTAAAGAATAAAACTTTTTTTCTTTTACTGCCATTTTTCCCCCTGCATAGCTTGATATATTTTTAGTGCTATGATTTATAGTAAGAAAGGATTTAGGGTATTTTATTTTTTTTTTTGACTATCATTGGAAATTAAAGGAGTGGTAAATATTTTTTTACAGACATTCTATAAAACACAAAGTAATCAAGTACATTTTCTCTAAAACTAGTCTTCTAATGGAGTTTTTCTCTTAGTAAATGTTGAACATAGACTTTGTGGTATCTTATTTTGCATCTCCAAACTCATCATTACTCTCCTCCTGCCTTATCTTACTCCTTATCTTACCTCCTCAGTGAATGACATCACCATCCAGTTATTTGCACAAACAAGAGACTTGAGAGTCATATTTTATTCTTTCTTCTTCATCTCCCCACCCTCCATCCACACCCTGTCTGTCACCAAATAGATGTGGTTGATTTTATCTTTTCAATATTCCTGAAACCCATTCCCCTTTATTCGGCCTTGTTTTAGTGTCTGCACTTCTTTGGCGAGCCATCGCCGTTGTTTCCTTTGTAACTATTCTCCCTGCTCCTAGGCTTGTGTCTCTCTGTTCTGTCTGCACTGCTGCCGGAATGACAGTTACAGCTGGAATGTGAGCCTGACTGTTTCATTTCTCTGCCTAAAACCTGTCAGTGGCACCTGGTCTTAAGGAGCAGGGGTCAGCAGACTTTTTCTGTAAAGGACCAGTTGTAAACACCTCTGGCTTTGCGGGCCAGATAGTATGTTGCATCTGCTACATAGTACTGCAAAAGCAGCGGCAGCCGCATCCTGCAGGCTTGTGTCCACACTCCTTAGCACTGTGGAGACCTCTCCTAGGGACCTACCTTCTTCCTCTCTCTCACCACCAGGTTTCACCTTTGTTCAGAGTGACACTGTTCTCTCTGCTTGGAATGCCAGCACACGTTTTTCCTTTGGCTAACTTGCATTTCAAAACTAAGCTCAGATACTTTCTCTTAGATCCTTTGCTAGGTCCTCACACTGGACTGCTGTCTGTCCTCCCTGCTTCCCTGTTTCTTTACTTACTGCTGTTGCTGTGCTGACCTTATGAGATCCATGTAGGCTGCCTTTGCTGTGAGACGTGCTGTGTTCATCTTCACATTCACAGTGCCCAGTACTGTGCCTGGCACAAACCTGACACTTAGAAAGGTGAACTGTGTCAGATCCTGTTATCTGGCATCATAGGGCTTGAGCAGCGATCTCCACGTTATGTGAATTGATTGTAACCTGGCTGTACTCTGCAGGTTGTGCCATGATGCATTTACCGAGAACATGGCTGGGGAGAGTCAGCTGCTGGGGAGGAGGAGACTTTATCACTGTGCCGCGTACAACTGTGCCATCTCTGTCATCTGCTGTGTTTTCAGTGAGCTGAAATTTTACCAAGGTTTTCTCTTCAGTGAAAAACCAGAAAAGGTAGGCCCCTCCTGAGGTGTTCACTATTACTTTCATTGTAGGATTTCAAAGGTTATATTCTATCAAAGTGTATTATAATTTGCACCTTCTTATGATATTAAAGATGTGGTTCTTTTGGTTCTGTAGGTATATTTAAAAGCCAAAGTGCTTCTCCATGAGTTATTAAGTAGCGTCAATTCTGTAGTCCATCAGTTATACCATTTAAATACTGTTGTATGATTCTTTGGATTTACAGAACTTGCTTATTTTTGAAAATCTGATAGACCTGAAGCGCTGCTATACATTTCCTATAGAAGTTGAGGTGAGTAAACTTTTTAATGTTTCTAAGTTCAAAAAATTTCTCAGGTGCTCACAGAGAAAAAGTTGTAATGTTGAACATGTTAAATTGCCAATATTCAAGTCTGGTTTCAACTACAAAAACTGACAGTTTCAGCTTTAGGTACAGTCTTAGACAACTACGACAAAATTCATTAGAACTGGATTTTTCCATGTCTTGACTTGTGAAGGAAAAACAGTGCCAATAAAAGGAGGTGTTAGGACATATCCTAGAGTTGTTTTCTGAGCAAATTCCTTTAAAGAAGCTGAGACCCCCCCCCGCACCTGAATGTTTATAACAGCACAATTCACAATTGCAAAGATGTGGAAACAACCCAAGTGTCCATCAATACATGAGTGGATTAATAAAATGTGGTATATGTATGCGATAGAGTTCTATTCAGCTTTAAGAAACAATGGTGATATAGCACCTCTTGTATTCTCCTGGATAGAGCTGAAAGCCATTCTACTTAGTGAAGTATCCCAAGAATGGAAAAACAAGCACCACAAGTACTCACCATCAAATTGGTATTAACTGATGAACACATAAGTGCACATATAAGAATAACATCTATTGGATGTTGGGCAGTGGGGAGAGGGGAGGGGAGAGAAGGGGACAGGTATATGCATACAGAAAGAGTGTGATGCGCACCATCCGAGGGATGGACATGCTTGAAACTCGGACTTTTGCGGGGGGGCAAGGGCAACATACGTAACCTGAACATCTGTACCCCCATAATATGCTGAAATTAAAAAAAAAAAAGAGAAGCTGAGGCCCATACTGATATGAATCTTAACCTTGTGGTACTGCTGGGGCAGCTGGGCTGGACAAAGGAAATGTCATAGGGTAACTGGAAGACTTGCTGTGGCAGATGAGACAAGTTTGGTTTTAGCCAAGCTCAGATTGACATGCCAGCTTCAGCAGTTGGTGAGAAGGTGATGGTTGTTGCCTTCATGGCCCATTAGAAATGGGAAGGGGGACAGAGTGCCAAGCTCATGTACCATAGCCTGCACGTTTCCACACAGCTTCTGACCTCGACCACATCACTGCATGTGAATGGTTGCTTGCTACCTTGCATCCTTTTGGAATAGACTTGGATTTTTTATCTAGGCATATGTTCAAAGAACTAAAAACCAAAATAATAATAGCACCAGTTTATTAGGCATGTCGACACACGCTGTATGTTACTTCTAAACTTTACAACAAAATTGTAAGGTGCTATGATATATCATAACTGTTTAGTTGAGGACACCGAGGCTCAGAGATGAAGTAAAAATTATTGGTAATCCAGGCACATGGCTGTGAAAGCTCAGCATACACTGTGTTCAGCTGTGTAAGAGCTAACATTAGTGGGGAGCGGGGAGGGGGCAACTACCTATGTCCACAGACTTTGAGAGTGTGTGGGAAAGACTCCCTTAAGCAATACTTACCCATCTCTTTTTGTGGATATTTTTGAGTACTTTTAAATTTGATCAAAGTTTTGTTTAAAATTTCATAATTTGTGTTTTTGCCATATTGCTATTAAAACAGAAAAAATGTGACCACAATTCTAAAATATTTTAAATTGTGTATTTGTTTTGCCTAATAGGTTCCTATGGAAAGAAAAAAAAAGTACATTGAAATTAGGAAAGAAGCCAGAGAAGCAGCAAATGGGGATTCAGGTAGGATGTTTTCAACAAAATGAGAAAGTCTTCTAAAAATTGGTATTTTTTATGTAAATAGAAAACATTTTAACTACTCCAAAACACTGAAATTGAATTTGAAAAAATATTTTATTTTTAAGTGGCAAATGGAATTATATTTTGAAGGGAATGTAATTAGCTAAACTTAACTGCATGAAAAGGTCTCATAGCAGCCAAATGGTGCTCAGATATGTTACACTTAAAAAACAAAGTGTGAATCTAGTGCGAAGTCTCTTTGTTTGTGTATGGATAATGTTTGTATATTTCTATACATTCAGAAATCTGTATTAGAAGACAGATTCTATCCTGCCACTCCTTTGTTCTGAACCTCCCAGCAGCTTCCCATCTCTCTGAGGGCAGAGCTGCCTGAGGCCCCTGAACTGCTGGCCACCTCTGCTGCAGCCTTCCTTCCTGCTCACTCCACTCCAGCAGAAGGGCCCCTGGATGTGCCTTCTGGGCACCAGGCTTGTTTTTGTTCCAGGGCATTTGCACTTGCTGTCCCCTCTAACAATCTAGACCCCAGATATTGGTGTACTTCGTGACATTTTGTTTAGTGTCAACCCTTGAAGGAGGCTCTTCCTGGCCTCCCTATTTATAAAGTTAACGCTCTGTCCCTCCACATGCTCCTTGTTAGGATTTTTTACTTAATTTTTCTTCATAGCTTTTATCACCATTTCTTGATATGAGTATACAATTTGGACCAGTTTTCTAAATCCCTTGTATATTTTAGATGAGCTATTTTTCAGTAGTATTTCTTTTCATATTTATGTTAGACATATTGGGCAAAATGTACACATCAAAATTTTTTTTTTTTTTGAGACAGAGTCTTACTGTGTTGCCCAGGCTAGAGTGCCGTGGTGTGAGCCTAGCTCACAGCAACCTCACACTCCTGGGCTCAAGCAATCCTACTGCCTCAGGCTCCCGGGTAGCTGCAACTACAGGAGTGCGCCACCATGCCCAGCTAATTTTTTCTGTATATTTTTAGTTGTCCAGCCAATTTCTTTCTATTTTTAGTAGAGACGGGATCTTGGTCTTGCTCAGGCTGGTCTTGAACTCCTGAGCTCAAACGATCCGCCCACCTTGGCCTCCCAGAGTGCTAGGATTACAGGCGTGAGCCACCGCGCCCGGCCTACACATCAAAATTTTAAATGCAAAGAAAATCTGTTAATCATATCCAAAAATTCGATCCAGTTTAACTTAATTTATCTATGACAATAGAGAGTAACTGCTAAATAATGACAAAAACAAAGGGAGGTTTTTTCCCCATTTTCTTTCTGCTTTGGTAATCTGAACAATGCGTTAGAAATTACAGGGTTGATGAAAGCCTTAGTTAAAAGTATCCTTTGATTTTATTATCATTTGAGCTTAGAGAAATATATTTCTTGCTGATTGTGTTTGAATACATGTGTCTTCTTATTTATATTTCAGATGTTCCTCATTATATGTCTTCCTTGTCATATCTGGCAGACAGTAGCCTGAGTGAGGAAATGAGTCAGTTTGATTTCTCAACTGGAGTTCAGAGTTATTCTTACAGCTCCCAAGACCCTAATTTTACCACCAGTCATTTTCAGAGACGGGTAATGATCACGTTTCACATACTAAAAGAACCTTGTTGAATTTTGTAGGAGAGTGGGGTCACAGCTCTGCCTTGCTATTACTGTGGGAGGCCAGTTCTCTGTCTGTAGGTAGTCCTCAGAGAATAGTGTTAATCTGGAGAATTTTCTAAGACCTAAGCCCCAGCGTTCTGTCCTGTACACTGAGCAGATTTCGCACAGGAAGGAAGTCAGGGGGTCTGGGGTCAATGTAGCAGAGATGTCTGATCTCAGGTGCCACCTGGGGAGTGACTGGGAAGACGGGGTAGGGGAGCTCTGTGTATCCAGAATGTAAGGAAGACACGAGGTCCTGTTTATATTCTAGCTGTTTAATAAGAAAACACACTTAGTGTATTTGATATTATTACCCAATGATCATTACCTAAGTGTTTGTTATATGATATTGCCCCCAAAATAAGACTCTTATGTTCATGGACATTTTGGCAGCACACTCTGCATCATGAGCTTCTTCCCTCTCCATAGGAGCATCAGGCTCCCGTGGCCCAGGGTGGTGTCCTGGAGCTGGAGATGGACGAGCTCAACCAGCACGAATGTATGGCCCCGATGGTAGCCCTGATCCAGCACATGCACAGGAGCCTGAGCCCCACTGCGGGAGAGGAGGTGCTGTCCCCACGTACCTTCTGTTATCTGTTAATACTGTTCATTGGTATTATATTGAGAATTAACTCTTAATCTTGAAGACCAAACCAAATTGCATATCAGATAAACATTTTTTGTTGTTCATGTCTGCCTTTGTCATTGTTTTCTCATAATATCAAAATGTGAGGTTATTTTATTCCACTTTTTAAAGTAATTTTGAGTGCTTAATTTCAGGGTTCAGTGCCAAGAGATCTTTCTCCTTGGATGAAATTTCTCCATGGCAAACTTGGAAATTCATCAGTACCATTAAATATTCGTCTCTTCTTAGCCAAGCTTATTGTTAATACAGAAGAGGTAAGTAATTTTTTATTTCTTTAACAATTCTTTGCAATTCTGTAATTCTCTTTGAAAAAATACAACAAAGGAAGATATAAAGGGACAGAGCATGACATATTTGTTCTCTGAATAAATTAACCAGCTGCATTTATCTACTTGTTCAACACCATTCTTTATTATATCATTTTCTTTTAAAACATGTAAATTAACCTTTATTAAGTTTGAAGTGATCTTTGTATAAAGTACACATAGCAACTTTCTTACGGCTGCCAAACTTCTTTGTTTATAGTAGCAAAAACATTGGTGAAAATATTCCTGCTAACTCTATATTAAAAACAGCTGACTCTTAGGCAGTTGCTGAATTTGTCAGTTTATCTCCATACAGCTCCAAATCAGGCAGGGGCATCTTCTACCAGTGGGAGGTGGAGTAGGTTTTGGAGAGCCCTTGGGTAAGTGTGAAATGCAGAGGAGTGTGCTCTGCACGGGGTGGCGGGGAGCAGTGTGAGCAGGTCTGCACCGGAGCAGCAGCCAGGCTCATTTGCTGAGCAATAGCGAGTCACTGGAGGGCACCAGATGGTGGGCAACATCATCCTCTTGGCCCCTAGAAAGTCCTTCTAGGCAGCTCTGTAGATGCGATGAGCCCAAGGCCAAGCCCGCCAGGAGGTCTGGGACTGCAGTGACCTGCTTTCCTCAGGCCTTGCTTGATTTGTCGATCCCAGGACTGCTGTCACAGGGTGCCATGGACTAGGGGGCTTTAACAATAATTCTAAAGGCCAGAAGTCTGAGGTGAAGGTATTGGCAGGGTCAGTGCCTTTGAGGGCTGTGAGGGAAAGTCTGATCCAGGCTGCCTCCAGCTCCTGGTGGCCTCAGGCGTTTCTTGGCATGTAGATGGCAGTTTCCCTGTGTCTTCACACCCTCCTCTTCCACACACCTGTCTCTGTGTCCAAATTTCCACTTTTTATAAGGACACTAGTCGTGTTAGATTAGGGCCCCCCTAATATCCTCACTTTCACTTGATTACCTCTATAAAGACCAAGTCTCCAAATAGGGTCACATTCTGAGGGTTAGGACCTAACAGCCGTTCAGGAGACACGGTTCAACCCCTAACATTCGAGGTCGCACGTGACTTCAAGCTCATGTTCTTCCAAGTGCTTTCTTGGTTGCTATTAAAAAGGAGCTGGGTGTTTGGCTTTTGGATGATTTCTTGGGGGCGCTGGGCACGGGCAGGCAGGCTGAGGAGGAAGCTGCTGCCCTGCATCTGCACGTGTGGGTGTGAGAGGCCTCCAAGGCATCCCAGGGACTTGTCCCTGGAGCAATGTGTGCCTCTGGAGCCCGGAGTGAACAGGGCAGTGGTTCCCAAGAGGAGATGCTAGAGATGATCCTCCTCATGTGGAAGAAAATAGTAGAACTTTTATTTGCATTTATCTTAGAATTGCCAACCTTTAAGTATTTGTTATAGTTTAATAGCATAGTAAAGTGGTTCTTATATATCACTTACAAATAAATGTATATGTGGAATGTGCTCTGATTTTTTTTTTAAACTTACGGGGGCATGATCAAAAAGGATTTGAAACCACAAGATTAAGCTGTGAAAAGAGTAGATGAGACACCCCCAAGAAAATATTTGAAAAAGAAGGTGGGAAGGTTAAGAAGGTAGACAGCTTAGATTATATTCTTCAGTCTATTCTTTTCCATCAGAATGGCATTCTCCTGCAGTGGCGTTTAGTATATGGATATATCTTAATTAGATTTCAGAGACTTTAGCATGTGACCTTTATAACAGAATGACTTCTGTAATATAGGAAAAAGTGAAAAAAAAATTTAGCCATGTGCACCTACCTAATTTTTTTATCTCATTTTTCATATGCCTTATGCATCTGCATAAAATAAAAGAATTTTCTATAGCTGAATATTATTCGGATGGGACAGAGGATTGCTATAGAATACTTTGATTTTGATTTCTATGAGCATCATTGTATCAGAAGGGTTTTAAACAGTGAAAAGATCAATAACAAATCCATTTCCACTGAATTATTTCAGGAGCCCATGAAGAGATAATTCAGCAGAGAATCTAATCTGATCAAGTGGGGTAATTGTTGGAATTTACATCTGTTTTGGACTTAGGTCCAGTAATAATATAAAATTTTGGCTGATGGAGGATATATTCCTGTATTATTAATAATATTTTCGTTATTCAGAGTGATTCATTAACATTGGACTTTTCAATTTTCTCGTAGGTCTTTCGCCCTTATGCAAAGCACTGGCTTAGCCCCTTGCTGCAGCTGGCTGTTTCTGAAAACAGCGGAGGAGGAGGAATTCACTACATGCTGGTGGAGATCGTGGTTACTGTTCTTTCGTGGACAGGCGTGGCTACTCCTGCAGTAAGGATTGATGCATCTGTTCTGTAGTAATGTATTATTCCTGTGCTGATACCCTATAGCACAGCAGTCCCCAACCTTTCTGGCACCAGGGACTGGTTGGAAGACAGTTTTTCCATGGCCTGGGGAGGTGAGGGGGGTGATAGTTTCGGGATGACTCAAGCACATTATATTTGTTGTGCACTTTATTTCCATTATTATTACATTATATTATATAATGAAATAATTATACAACTCACCATAATGCAGAATCAGTGGGAGCCCTGAGCTTGTTTTCCTGCAACTAACGCTGCTGCTGATCTGACAGGAGGCGGAGCTCAGGTAGTGATGCGAGTGATGGGGAGCGGCTGTAAATACAGATGAAGCTTTGCTCAATCACTTGCTCGCCTGCTGCTCACCTCCTGCTCTGCAGCCCAGTTCCTAACAGGCCACGGACCAGTACCGGTCTGCAGCCCAGGGGTTGGGGACCGCAGTTATAGTGCATATGACAGGTAACTCAAGCTCCTCTTCATGACCTTGAGTTGTCATTTTGTGGTGCTCCCATATGAAATGGCCTCAGACTGCTTTGATTTTGTTTTCTTTCGTCTGCTTTTGATGATTTCTTTGACCTTGCTTTTATTACTAAGCTGTCAGGCATTTTGTTTTGTTTTGTTTTGTTTGTTGCTTTTACTTGCTAGGAACTTGGAAATTAGATAACAGATTTATTAAAATTATGTGTAAGCTAAATGTCAGTAGACCCCGAGGGTGAGATTCTGAGGACTTCTATCGAGAGTAAAGCCCCTGGGTGTGCTGGTGTTTGTTTGCCAGCTTATTTATTCCAGAGTATTGACCGTAATCCATACTGGTGAGAGTGGCTGCTAAGGTCGTAGCTGCCGGATGGTGACACTGTGTCGTGGGGGAGCAACTTGCGTGCAGACTCATGTGTGCTGGAGCTTTGCCTGTTCATTTAAAACTGTGGACGCTGACAATGTTCAAAAGTTTTCATGCAAGGATATCATGGGAATGATCGTCATTAAACACGATAAATGTACATGTAGCTTTTTCACATGTCTGTGTCTGGGTGTGCCTATCTCAGTTATCTCACAGTAAACCAAATTTAGATTTTTTGGTCTTAATTGATGAAATAATTTATACTCTGCTTGATAACATGAAAAAATTAAGAGAGTGTTTAGTTTAACTTAGGAACCATTGAAAAGATTGATGTAGATGTTAGGAGCTCAGCTAAGTATGAGAGGATGACAGTGCCAGCTGTCAGCAGCTGATTAAAGCCACAGCAGGCCAGGCGCTGTGGCTCACACTGTAACCCTAGCACTTTGGGAGGCTGGCTGAGGCGGGAGGATCGCTTGAGCCCAGGAGTTCGAGGTTACATTGAGCTGTGATCACACCACTGCACTGTAGCCTGGGCATCAGAGCAAGACTGTGTCTCTATTAAAAAAAAGAAACCAATAGCAAGTGAAAAGAAAGTGGCAGGGGAACCTGCGGCCTTCCGATTTCAAGATGGTTCTTTTTTAAGCATCAAAGGAGGCAAGAAAAGCTTCATAGCCTCATCTTCTCTGCTGCACCCCTTTTAATGAAAGGATCTGCTCTGTAAAATTGAGATTCAGTCAAAGGCTGCGCTTAAGGACCTAGAAGGCCACAGGTGGACTTCAGGCCTCAGGTTCCCTCCCCTACACACACCGCTCACTCATTGCAATGGTATAAGCAAGAGGCTAAAACCAGAGGGAAAAAGCACCAATTCCCCTGTTCCATTTTCCCACAAGGAATAGTGCACTGATCAGCGATCAGGGGGGATCAGCACAGATTACTGTGGATCACTGGTGAGGGGCCCTGAACAGACAGCTCCGGCCGTTTTACGGACTCTGAGGTGGTGGTGGTGGTAGGGTGCCGGGGGAAGGACTCAGAGCGGGAGAGCGCTAGGTACTGAGTCAGAGCGTGGAAAGCATCATTACGGCTTCCCCCTCTTTCTGTGAAGAGGACCTCTGTCCAGGGCCTCAGGTAAAGGGACCTAGAAATGGGGGCTCTGGGGAGGAATGCAGAGATGTTAAGGGTGTGGCCGGAGGGGGCCCTGAGCCCTGCCAGGGAAGTCCTTGTCATTGCTTGAGGTCAGCCCTAAAAAAGTCACACATAGGGCTTTAACCAGGAGCTGGACTCCTGAGTAAAAGGCACGTGGGGAACGTGGCCAGTGTTCCCTGCAAAAAACCGGGTCCCTTTGGTAGAATTGCAAGGGATAAGAAAATAATAGAGAGAAATGGAAAATGGAAGAAATAAAAGAATACACTGAGACAAAGATATAGTTTTATAAGTTTATAAAGATTATAGCCAAAGCGGGAGCTCAGGGGGCTGGGACCTCTCCGTTGGTCTCAAAAAGCCCCAAATGAGGTCTTACATGGTAACTTATAGGAAATAGTGAACAATTGTCAGGGGTAACAGATTTACATAACAACAGGTAGTTCCTCTCAGGTTAACAGATTTTCAAAAGGCTTTTACAGAAGGCTTCTACAGATTCTTTAACTAATTCTATTTACGTGGGCAAACGGTTACAAAGTCTTTCAAAGGTTAATTTCTAAATTCTAAGGTAAGTTTATCATTTAAACAGAGGGGTTAAACAGAGATATGTAAGCTCCATGTTTATTAGGTTATCGTGAATGGAGACAGGTAGTCTAGAGTGGTTTAAACAAAAGCTTTGCTTTTAGCCATTCGGGAAGCTGTCGTTTCCGGGAAGCTGTTTGTTCCGGAGGGCACTCCATCGTCAGCTCTCAGCCTATAGTTTTTAACAGATTCGCTTGTGCTTTACAAAGCAAATCCAATTCTTTAGGTCTGAGAAATGCGGCGCCTCCTGGGATACAGCCGCTACTGCCTTTCAGAGACGCCCTTCCGAGTGTAACAGCATTCGAAATGCAAACCAACACGTTCACATATTCTTTTAGGGCAAAGCTCTGTAAAACCCTTAAGACAAATCCTGTCCCAAAACACGTTTAATACTAATTCATGGAGCGACAAAGGCAGATATCTTTTATAAATGGACTTTTGGATTTAAAAAGCCTTTTCCAGAGTGGAATGCTGGATGTTAATGTAGAATTTCTATTGCCTTTTCAGGGGGTCGCTAAAGATGAAGTATTAGCAAATCGATTGCTTCATTTCCTAATGAAACATGTCTTTCATCCAAAAAGAGCTGTGTTTAGACACAACCTCGAAATTATAAAAACCCTTGTTGAATGCTGGAAGGATTGCTTGTCCATCCCTTACAGGTATAAGTTTACTAGTTTTTGCAATATTGTTTAGAAATTTAGGTTAAAATGTAGCATATTGTAAATGGTGATTACAATGAAATTTAAGTACTTGAAATGATAGAAGATGAACATAATTTGAAATTTGATTATATGACAGTCTCTATTTTCTCCTTTGTGCTTATGTTTCAGGTTAATATTTGAAAAGTTTTCCAGTAAAGATCCTAATTCTAAAGACAATTCAGTAGGGATTCAGTTATTAGGCATCGTGATGGCCAATAACTTGCCTCCCTATGACCCGAAGTGTGGTGTAGAAAGTTTCCAGTAAGTATCATATTTTTTGCTTGATTCTTTTTTGGGTTAAAGTCTCCTTGAATTGGATCGACAGACTGGAGTGTGGTTCAAGTTTGATAAATTTAAGGGCCAGAACCCATGTTAAAAATATTTCTACCTAAATTTAGAAAGTTGGATTTAGAGTCATTTGGGAGAAGAAATATGTCTGGAGTGAACGGGGAATATAGGTTTTTAAAAATAAGTGTAATTTTTTTCATGTTCGTGTTGGCAGGTGAGAGGTGTTAGGTATTGTCTTATTTTCCAAACTGATATTTTCAACACTTACACCTGAAAGTAACATGGGTTGCACAGGCAGCTTTGTTACGGGGTCTCTGACTACAAAGGGGCCTCCAGAACGCTGGGCTGTGCTGTCCCTGTACTCGCCCTGTTCCAGCCTGGCTGTCCCACCCTGGGCACGGGTGACGGGTGTGACCTGCCTCCCACGGGAGCAGCGGGTGTGACACTGAGAAGGAAGGACATAGCAGAGGGTGCTTTTGAAGTCAGGTTCGCGCTGTAGCTGCCCTGTAGGTTTCTGCCCGCCCACTCTGGCCTCCCATCTTGGGACCCTCCGTGTTGAACCCGAGACCCATCACCCCGACACTGGTGCCAGAGACTGTGTGACCTCACAGTTGAGGCAGCCAGGAGCTCGGCACTCAACAGGAATTCGTTTCCTGTAGACGGGTTACTGTTTTGATCTTTGGTTTCCGCCCCAAGAACAGCCTTACGGAGTTGCTGCGAGGGTGATGGTTAGATGTGCTGCTCCCTGTGCCTCACACAGAGTGTGTGCTCTGGGCATAGGCCTTCTCTTGTCATTGTATTATCTTTGTCTTGTCGTAGTAGGGGCTTTTGAAAGGGGGTCAGTGCCTCCTACTCTTGGATAGTAGCCTTTTCTTTCACTGCAGCTTGTTGTCAGGCCTCACACTGTGGGAAACTGACTAGGCGGTTTTGTGTGGTTGGGTGTTGGACCACCCACGCTGTTCTGGTTGTAATGTCAGAGCCCTTGAATACAAACTGACACGTGTATTCCTGTGCTTAATTTATATTATTTTAGGTTCAGATTTTCTTAATTTGTGCTATTAACATGACAAGAGAGGGAAAATTTTAACTTTTTATGTCAAACAACAATGCATTATTTTAAGCATATTTGTTTTCTGTATTTATTGTAGATACTTTCAAGCTTTGGTCAATAATATGTCCTTTGTAAAATATAAAGAGGTATATGCGGCAGCAGCAGAAGTTCTGGGACTTGTTCTTCAGTATGTTATGGAGAGAAAAAATGTGAGTGTGTTGCACAATTTTAAGTAAATACTTGTCAATTTTGATTTGTTATGACCCTTGATACTTATATGTACTTCCTGTATGCTATTAGAAACAAAGTGGGTATCTGCATTTAATATTTCACTGTTTTCCTACTATTTACCAAATACAGGGCTCAATTTTTTAGCGATAATATAAGATTTTTTAAATACATGGGAACTTTGTGAACATTTAAAGATTGGCAGATTGGCGACTGACTTTTTACTGTAAAAGTTAGGGTGAGTATTTAACTAGCTTTCATTCCTATGAACTTGATCTCAGATTTCCTTTTGGAGAAAATCAGCCCGGCAGGTAACTGCTGAGGTGAGGGCAGAGTTATCCAGCTGTGAGAGGGGTGGGCCCTTCTCGGCCTTCTCAGTCCGGTGTCCTGCGATGCTCCTGCCTCGGCCTCCGAAAGTGCTGGCATTACAGGCGTGGCAAGCCATGCACTCGACCTTACCTGCTAGATTCTGAACATTTTGTTGTGCCATCAGATTAAATACTTTTAATAAAAAGACATATCTGGGCCTGGGATTACCCCTGTAATCCTAGCACTTTGGGAAGCTGAGGCAGAAGGATCACTTTAGCCCAGGAGTTTGAGGTTGCTGTGAGTTATGATCATACTGCTGCACTCGAGCCCGGGCAATAGAGTGAAACCCTGTCTAAAAAAAAAAAAAAACAAAAAAAAACTGATGAATCAGTAGTGTAATACTTAATTAAAATATTCTCCATGGGGTTCAGGCCATTGAAATTTGTGGTTTTGTGTTAAGGATTTTCCTTGAGCACTGTTTTAAAATAGCCTCCTATTACAGGTTGAGTATGCCTTATCCAAAATGCTTGGGATCAGAAGTGTTTCAGGTTTTGGATTTTTTTGGATTTTGGAATATTTGCATTATACTTACTGTTTGAGCATCCCAAATCCAAGAATCCAAAATCCGAAATGCTCCAATGAACATTTCCTTTGAGTGTCATGTCAGTGCTCTAAGAAGTTTAGATTTTGGAACATTTCGAACTTTGGATTTTCAGATTTGGGATGCTCAACCTATAGTAATTTTGTATTGAAAAACTATGCATCCAATCTTAATGCCTTTAAAAAGGTTGCCCACTTTCCTTTTCTAGTCTTTGTGAGGAGGAAGATGAACCATGAATGATGGATGTAAACATCTTCCATCACTTCCTTCCGGTAGTCTCTGCTGAGTCCTTCTCTAGTTGAACACTTATTCCTGAGGACTTACTTACTTGTTTCTAGGCCCTGGGGATGCAGCAGGGAACAGGACAGGCTAAGTCCCTGACCTTGGGGAGCTGGTGTTTGGAGCGGGGAGGCAGTAAGATACAGACAAATCTGTAGTGGCGGGTAGTTACTGCTGCTGTTACTCCGGGCGCTGGAGAGAAAGCTGGACACGGGCAGCCAGACCCCGATGGGGCTGCTGTGTGGGTAGAGTTGCTTGAAGATTGTGTTTTATGTAAATATTTTTGACCAGAGACCTGAACATCTTAAAATGTGTCTTAAACAGTATTTAGTCATTGATTTTAGCTTAACTTCTGAAAGGACTAACTTGTCGTGTGTTGGTGTCAGAAAGAAACACTGTTCTTTTTCATCGATCCGACATCTGACATAAGCCAGGCGCCCTGGTGCTCACAGCATGGAGCACAGCAATGTGGTCTTGAGCACCCACTGGGTGTAGGACCTCAGGGACCAGGAGCCAGGCATACAGTGGTCATTGTGGACCAGTGGACATCCCTAGCACCTCTTGTTTTGTCATGTGCTCTGTGAGCCTTGTTGTAGGTGATAACATTGAACACCTTCCTTGAGTTCACTTAAATATTCAAGATAAACCTTATTTTCAGTGCTTAACATAAGTTTCCACTCTTGTGTATTTGAAAAGAAACTTAATTTTTCAGATACTGGGGGAATCCGTGTGTGACATGGTTGTAAAACAGTTGAAGCAACATCAGAATGCTATGGAGGACAAATTTATTGTGTGCTTGAACAAAGTGACCAAGAGCTTCCCTCCTCTTGCTGACAGGTAGGGACCCTTGGGCGCATGTCGGGGTGCAGGGTCTGAGGCTCTCCCCTCACCACTGTGCCTCCCTACCCAGGTTCATGAATGCTGTGTTCTTCCTGCTGCCGAAGTTTCATGGAGTGATGAAGACACTCTGTCTGGAGGTGGTGCTTTGTCGTGCTGAGGAAATGACAGACCTGTACTTCCAGTTAAAGAGCAAGGACTTTGTTCAAATCATGAGACACAGGTGAGTGAGCAGCAGCCCACACTCTCGGATGGGCTCATAAAACATTAATGCCTCTCCTTCAACTTGTGAAGAACCTGTGGGTTTCCGTGAAATGCATATTTGTGAAGTTCAAATCTGAGAAGGAACGGTGAAGAGAGCATAATCATGGAGTGTGTGCTGAGGTGGGCCTCGCCCTGCCGCCACTCCAACCCTGTGGGCCCCATCCCTCACCCATGAATAAAGGAGGTGGCCTGCATAGTTGCCTCAGGCTCTCTCTTCAAATTTAAACTGCATGCTTTTGAGTTCTGTACCAGTTTTGCCAGGTAAGAGCTTTCAGTTAATGTATTAATATTATAAATGTTCCTTTACTTTCAGAATTGCAATATAGTATAAAAGTAAAAGTTAAAGGAGAAAGCTGCTGATGGCTTACATTGTTTTATTTCTCTACTCTTTTCCAGTCTTGGTCTATATACATACTTTTACATGGCAATGAATTACTGATAAATGTGCAGTGTGCCAATAGCAAAGAATGTATGTCATTGTGTCCTTGTGTCCTTCAGTGACTGTTTACTGAGTATCTGCGTTGTGTAAGGCATCCAGGCGGGTGCTGTAAGGAGCAAAAGACACACCAAACAAGGAGATAGGTGTGCGCCTCCTTTAGGGTGCAGACTGCACCTCACTTCACTGTATGACCCTCCAGGTAGCTCTTGAAAGCATTTTTAAAACCAGAAATTCTTTATATTTTTAGCTTATTTTGTTTGCCATTATCAGGTTTTTTAAAATGAGCTTTTTATTTTGAAATAAGTTTATATTTACAGAAAAGTTTAAAGATAGTACACAGCATTCCCATATATACCCCTTCCACAGTTTCCCCATCTTACATAATCTTAATACGTTTGTTAAAACTAAGAAATTAACGTTAGTACATTCCTTTGAGGCATAGATGTCAATAAAATAAAAAAATTTTAAAAAACCACATTAGTACATTCCCATTAACTAAACTGGACTTTATTTCCATCTCACCAGTTCTCCCCAGTGTCCTTTTTCTATTCCAAGATTCATTCCAGGATAGCACATTGAATTAATTTGTTTATTTTTAATAATCTAGCCTGTGATACTTATTTTTAAGAATGTAATTTTTATGTAAGTGTAGTATTATCTAACATAATACTATTCAAATTTTGAAACTACAGAACAGCACAAAAAAGAAAAAGTTGCCTGTCATAATTTGAAAGTACAATAATAAAAGTGGTTAAATTTGTGTGTTTTTAAAAATCTTTCTTATAGAGATGATGAAAGACAAAAAGTGTGTTTGGACATAATTTATAAGATGATGGCAAAATTAAAACCAGTAGAACTCCGAGAACTACTGGGCCCTGTTGTGGAATTTGTTTCCCACCCTTCTACAACATGTAGGGAGCAGATGTATAATATTCTCATGTGGACACATGACAATTACAGGTAAGCTATACATTGACATTTTATTTTATTAGGGATTTGGGTGCCTTAGCAATCTGGAACATAATAAAGCATTTTTAACCATGTGATTAATAATTACATTCATTTTCATATATTCTGTCCTTATTTTAACTCATTTCACGTGTGTGGGAAATATTTAGAGAGTGAAATTATTGGTTGAGTTAAAAATGTTTTAAGTTTAGGAACACTTATAAGCTTATAAACTTATAAGCTCTGAGGCCTGAGAGGAGGATGTCAGGCCTGTGCACACACACGACGGGGGTCCTGCTGGGATTTAGGGCATTATAGCCCCATGGGAAAAACTAGCCATTTTTACTTTAGTTCCAGACAGTGTTACTGGGCTTGAACAAAGGGCTAGAATAGAGTATTAATGTTTTGGCATTTTGTTGTTTTCTCAAACAGAGATCCAGAAAGTCAAACAGATGATGACTCCCAGGAAATATTTAAGTTGGCAAAGGAGGTGCTGATTCAAGGATTGGTGGACGAGAACCCTGGGCTTCAGTGCGTGCTGCTCCTGGGCCGTGGCAATGAAGCGTTAGGGGCCGCTGTCTAGGCTAGCGTAGAGTATTTCTCAGCAGTTTTAGAAATGCATTTGCAGTATTAGCATTTTCTCTGCCTCCTGTATTTCATAATGTTTTGTAAAAATGTATTTTAAATCACATTACAAAGAATAAGACTTCAAAATCTTGACAAGTTACTTTAAAATAAAACTTCTGAAAAAGTGATGTGGACAAAGCACTCTCTGCTAGTACAGCGAGTTAAAGTATTTCAAAATAAAAAGAAAATCTGAGAGCTGGACACAGTGGTGCACACCTGTAATCCCAGCTACTTGGGAGGTTTAAGTGGGAGGATTGTTTGAGCCCAGGAGTTTGAGACCAGCCTGAGCAACAGAGCGAGACCTTGTCTCCTTTTTTTGTTTTAAGAAGAAAAAAAAATCCATAATCTGTTTCCCATTTAACATAAAAAGTGGAGATCACACTTATATTAATATTGAATGAAGTGTTTGAAACCTTAGAAATAAGACAAAACCATGTTAATTATAGGTGGAAGTAGGAGAAATGATTGTCATCTTCTGTAATGCCTGACCTAAGTCAGTTATATGAGTGTCTTATCAAGTACTAATTATATCGCAAGGGGCATAAACTTTTCATATGATTCTATGTATCACTTATGTTTCCATTCTGCTACAATTTTAAATTCATTGAGCTTTTAAAAATTGTATTTGGATTTCATAAGCATTCATAAATTATAGAGCCTAACCTGGCTTTTAACTAATTTAAAGTTTTGAATACTTTATGGCAGTAATTTTTGGAGTAAATTGTCTTAGCAAGGCAGTACTAAGTGCAGAATTATATGTAATTTCTTAAAGTGTTTTTTCAGTTTCAAAATAGTTTCTATTATGTACTTATCATTGAAAACTTCCCAGGGAATAGAGATGAAAGAATAAAATCACCCAGTTTCCCACCTCCTGTTAAATTTTTAATACGTATTTTAACATTCCCTTCCTTCAGTGCATCTTTTCATAACTCAGGTTATACTCTTTATACACGTGTGTGGTCGCCCTCTCTGTTAAGCTTTGTGTGGATGAAAAGCGGCCTTCTCCACATGACACCACGTGCAGAATGCCCTTCCTCGTTGGCAGTGTCTAAGCAGTGCGCTTTTCTTCTCTCTGCTTTTCAGATTAATTATTCGAAATTTCTGGAGCCATGAAACTAGGTTACCTTCCAATGCCTTGGACCGACTGTTGGCACTAAATTCTTTATATTCTCCTAAGATAGAAGTGCACTTCTTAAGTCTGGCAACAAATTTTCTGCTTGAAATGACCAGCATGAGCCCAGACTATCCAAACCCCATGTTTGAGCATCCTCTGTCGGAATGTGAATTTCAGGTGAAGTGCTTGTTTCTGTAATGATGATGCATATTGTAAGTTTTCTTGTCAGTTAGTGAACGTTTCTAATAGCGTCCAGCTGGCTGTCTTACTTTCCTTGGAATACTCACACATTCCTTCGGAAGCATTTGCCTTCGCCTTCCGCTCCTGGAGGCTCACACTGCTCACGCTGTCGGCCTCCACTCAGGTTCCTTTCTCACGAGTGCCCGCCCTCCTGTCCCGCCTCCCATCCCCGCAGCAGGTGCTGAGCTCGCGCCTTCTCTCCGCCGCAGCCTCAACAACCCGGTGGTCTGCATGTGGCAAGCGCTTGGCGCGTGCGCCTGCATAGGAGAGTTGACCCAGCGGTGTTTGACTCGTTGCAGCTGTGTTGTGGTGCCATCACTGAGGTTGACATCAAGCCTTTAATGCAAAACGGTTAAGAAAACGCATTTTCTCCCCCAATAGTAGTTTTTCTAGTTGGTAAATAATTCGTTAAAACTTTTAAATTAGAAAAGGTTCTCCAGCTGCTTTCCACAGAGAAATATGAAATTATGGTACATGTCTGCTGATAGCATCATTGGATTTTAAATAGAAATATTTCAGTGTTGCTAAAAAAGGAACATTTCATTTGAAGCTTTCTTATATGCAGGAATATACCATTGATTCTGACTGGCGTTTCCGAAGTACTGTTCTCACTCCGATGTTTGTTGAGACCCAGGCCTCCCAGAGCACTCTCCAGACCCGAACCCAGGAGGGGTCCCTTTCGGCACGCCAGCCAATGGCCGGGCAGATAAGGGCCACCCAACAGCAGTGTGATTTCACGCTGACACAGACTGCAGGTAACAGACCTGGACACACCTGCTGAGCACAGGGCACTCTGGCCTGTGAGAGCGGCTTCTGTCTGGTGGAAAAGCGTTCTGGAGATGGATGGTGGCGATGGTTGCAGAACAGTATGAATGTGCTTGATGCCACTGAACTGTATACTTAATAATAATTGAAATAGTAAATTTTATATTATGTATGATTATAATAATTTTTTAAAAAGGAGAAGAGGATTATTTCTGGCTAGAAAATCCAGGACAAGTTTCAGTGCATGTATGTTTTTGTTTTGTCTTTGTACTGAAAAATCTAACGCAGCAAATTTAAAACATCTCATCTCAAAAGCAAAGTAGAGCTAAACCAAATTCATTTGCTATGTTTGCAGTTTATTAAATTGTTCTTTCTCAAATGTTCTGTTTCCTTTGATCAGCAAAGTACAAATTATAAAATAAAATATCTTAATCCTTTTATGTAAACACCTGAATGTTTTTCCTTCATGTAACTGTTTTTAGTCAGATTTTGTTGGTTCTGGAATTGGGACTAATTTGAATAATCACAATGGAAATTCTGTGACACTAATATTAGAAGTCAGGGGCTCTTGGCACCTTTCAATAGATACAAAGTATTATTACTGTGCTGGGAGCAGGTGGCTTGTTTCTTACTTTGCAGTGGGGACACCCTGCCTCAGGCCACACCCTGGGGACCTGACAGAGACTCAGCCAGGGGTCACAGGTGAGCATACTGAGGCTCAAGATCAAGGTGCTGCCAGTGTGTCCCGGCAGGTGTGTCACAGCAGGCGCACTGGCCTGTGTGCAGCACTGAGCGCAGTAACTGCTCTGATTCTGTGTGTTGCAGATGGACGAAGCTCATTTAACTGGCTGACAGGGAGCAGCATTGACCCGCTAGTGGATTACACGGTCTCCTCGTCTGATTCCTTGTCTTCCTCCCTGCTGTTTGCCCATAAGAGGAGTGAGAAGTCACAGCGAGCACCCTTGAAGTCAGTGGGACCTGATTTTGGGAAAAAAAGACTGGGCCTTCCAGGGGACGAGGTGGATAACAAAGTGAAAGGTCAGTAAGATATTGAAACACGCTTAAAATAACCTTTCCTGAGGGCATTAACACATAGGCTCAGGTCAGGACAGCACATTGCTGACTGTATCCACGTTTCCTTGTAACCTGTAATTAAGCCCATTAAAATATAATTCAGTAAATGTTGCCTGGGCACTTACCATGCTGAAAAGATTGTTTTTTAGAAGTTCTAGAAAAACTGTAGAATAAGCTGGACTCAGTCCATTCATTTGGTGACTTTCTGGGGTGGGTAAGGCCATAAAATGGTGATCATAGATGAGGTAGGTTCGTCAGTGAAGTCTCAAAGGTGAGAGAGTTAACTCAGGCAGACAGAGTGGAGAGAGCCTCAGGAGAGAGTTGGTGAGGGAGCTTTTGAGAGGAGCTCACCTTCCTGGGGGTGCAGGAAGGGAAAGGATGAAGCAGACAGATAAGCAGAGGAGTGTGGTGGGAGAGAACGTTCACTGGGACCTGACTCTGAGCCAGGGCACCGTGGACCCTGCGTGGTCCAGGTACACGATGCTCTGGGACACATTGGATAAAGGGTGCTAAGAGGACAGGCTTGTGGGTGGGGGAGTGTGCTTTGAACTCCAGTGTTAGGAAGCAGCTACGTAATGCACCAAGCAGGGGCAGACATGGCCTTCCCTGAGAGAGGTTCGTGGGGGGGCAGCCAGTGGAGTGAGGGGGGCCAGGAGACGGGCCAAAGGCACCACAACCAGTGGCAGGGCTCGTAGGGCTCGCAGACCCGGCGCCAAGAGGCTGTGGTCGAGGGCAGGCTGGAAGCCAGCTCTTTACGGAATTGCAGCTCTGGGAGTGAGTAAGAGGGCAGAGGAAGGACATGCACAGAGGAAAGGTCCCAGGACAGAACCCGGGGGAAGTGCCGACTTAGAAACTTAGATACATGGAAGTAAAATTAGAAGCAAGGTTAAATTCCTTTTTGTTTAATCGTAGGAACTAAAACACACACAGAGTGCTTTATACCCAACTACTTTTTCATACTTTTCAGTTGCAAACCTGTGGCCCGTACATAATTCTCTAAACTTAACTGAGAGAGGTAAACCTGGCCTTCTTTCTGCTCTGCGCTCTGAGTCGAAGGAGTGCCAGTGAGCCCCCCGCTACCCCTCCTTGCCCTGCTGCTTCTCAGGAATCTTTCTTTTACCTCCTTCCCCCTTCTTGGCTCTGAGGCACCAGTAGTGAGAGCCCTTGGTCCTGCCTGGGAGCTTGGACTGTCACAGCCCCAAGCTTAAAATGAATTCCCTGGTGACTCTGGCCTCCCACGGCTGCTCGGCTGTCTCTCCCCACGAGCCTGAACACACGCTGCTTTCCACGAGTAAGGCTTTCGCCCTGAGCTTCGGAAAATCACTGAAGAGAGGTGTGCATTTGGGGTGATCTACAGTCCAGGTGATTTCTGGCAATTGCTGGTTAACGACTCTGGGCTAGTTGAACTCTTTATTGTTTGGGAATGCAGCTCAGAAGTAAATGAAAATTGCTGAGGATGGCAGCAGTTATTGTCCACGACACAGATTGTTCCACAATATTTCCTTATCGACATTTTTAGAGTAAAAAAAATGTCATGGATGGTGTCCATAGAATTGGGGGACCATGTGTAAAAATTAAGGAAGATAAGAGGTGAAACTATTTGAAACTATTTTCCTTGAGAGTTTTCTGTATGGATTTGGAAAAAAAAGCAGTCATAGAATGAAGTAGGTAAAATGAATACTAATAATTATCTATTTTAATTCATTTAATATATGTGAGTCTGCCCATGTCCTTTTATAGCTTTAAAATATTTCACATACTGTCTTCTTTAGAGTATGCATACTTTCTTGCCTAAATGAGAGCATTTGGAGGTTCATAAAATGTCATGAGTTAATACTTACTGTAATACTATTTATTATCAAAAGGAAATACAGTTTAGAAAATTGAAATTGTAGCGAGTTAAAATATCAATTCACAACCATTATTTTAATTGTTTCTGTTTCCTTCAGTTATTTATATCAGTTATATATGCAGATTGTTTAAAGAGTCACATACTTCTCGAAAACTTGTTAGAAGAAATGGCAGCTCTCCATACACATTTCCCAGATCTCAGAGACAACCACTGACAACCCTTTTAGCTGAGTTTTCGTATTTACTTCCGTGTCTCCAAACAGTATTTTTATATAGCTGCTGTTTGTTTTTCAGTACTAGTTGTTATCTTTTGGCTTTGCATGACAGACATTTGCGGGCCTGGCCCTTCTCCCTCCTCGTGTGTCACACACGTGCACACTCGGTTCATTCTACTCTGCCTCATCCTCCTGCTTAGTTGAGTCATAATTTCATCAGTGTTCAGTATTTCTTCTTATTTTGATTATGTAATATTATTTGTGATTAAGCCATGAGCAATACTGTGATCATTTTTCCTTTCTGTGTAATATTTCTTCCTGGATATTAATAATTACATTGGCTTATATGCCTAGATTTCTACATATTTATCACTAAATTCCCCCCGAGTTATGCAGTTGTCTTTTACTGTGTCCCAACGTTGATGTTTCATCCTCTTAAAGAGATCCCTCCTGGAGCCTCCGGGTGCTTGCCCACGGTCTCTGCTCAGTTGTCATCCAGGGACCCCTCCTCATCCTCCTCACCCTGAGGTCTGCTCCCCTGCCTTGGTGGGTTTATTCCTTCCGTGGGGGAAGCCCTTCCTCAGTAGCGTGTGAGAAAAGGGGTCATACGCAATGAGCTTCCCTTGAGGTCCTGAAGCCACCACGTTGCTTTTGAGGCTCACACCCCCGAGGGCAGTGCAGCTGCAGAATCCTGGTGTGGCGCTGCCAGGGTCTCCTGCCAGGTGCAGGCCAGGGACCTGGTGTTGTCCTCCGCATCAGTCCTTTGTGGGAACCTGGGTCTTTTCTCTGTGGACACTCTTAACGTCTTCCTTTTAAAACAATTTTCTGAAATTTCACAAAAGTGCCCTCTGGTGCAGGTCTGTTTCAGTCGTTTTTTCTGGGCGTAATGTGGGCCCTTTCAGACTGCTGCCTCATGGGCTCTGGTTCTGAAGTAGCATTGTGGGTGCTTTTGTTGATGATTTCTTCACCTCAGTTTTCTCTCTTTTCTCTTTTTTGGAATCCTAGTGCTTGGGTATCCCTCCTGGATTATCCCTCTAATTTTCTTATTTTTTCTTGGCCTGTATTTTCTAGGAAATGTGTTCAACCTTATCTTTCAGCCATTGCTCGTATTTTTAATTTCCATGAGCTTTTTTTTTGTTCCCTGAACATTTGTTCTTCATTCACGGCTATAGTATCTATTCTTACTTTTCTAATAAATGAGAATTTTTTGAAATTTTTCCCTGTCTGCTTTTAACAGTTGCTCTTTCCTTGTCACTTATTTTGGTTTCTGTCTTTCTTATTTAAAGATTACCTCAAAATGTCTGGTGACTTTTGCACGGGAATGGTGCAGATTGGGATTGTGCTGCCTGGAAGCTGGGCTGGAGCAAGATGCTGAAGCCCTGGTGCATCTGCTGGTGGTTGCCCAGAGGCGGATGCATGCTGGGGGCCCAGCGGGAGGGGTCCTCACTTCACCGTAGGTGCTGCGCCAGCCTTGCCTCCTACACGGGCTGTGCCCCTCCCAGGCCCCTGCTGTGGCTGCACTTTCTTCCCTCTGGAGGGGCCCGGCCCTGCAGTTTCCCAAGCCTCTGGAGCCCTCTCCAGCCGCTTTCTCCCCGTTTTCTGCGCTGCTGAGGTGGGAGTCAGCTGAGGCAGTTATCACTCTGGTCCCTGCTCTCCAGCTTAGCTCTGCCTCTGCTGTTCCTGGTAGGCTTATGTCTTTAAGGAAACACTAGATAAAAATTTTAAAGTGGCGCTAAGCCCTCTCACTTTCACTTTAGGGGATTTGGGGAAGGAAACAGGGCACGTGCACCTGTCTTATGGGCCACCCGTAACCAAATCTGCTTTGTGTTCTTCAGGCACAGACAGTCGGGCAGAAATACTAAGGTTACGCAGACGATTTTTAAAGGACCAAGAAAAACTCAGTTTGATTTATGCCAGAAAAGGTCTTGCTGAACAAAAACGAGAGAAGGTTTGTATCTTTTGCAAGAATTGGATTGGTCAGAAATATCTGTTTTATATCACAGATACATACTAAGGAAATGAGCTTCTTGTCAGATATTGGTTCCAGTGTTGTTCTACAAACCGAAATTACAGAAGCAGCACTGTATGAGTCAAGGTTACTCATAAACCATGCCCCCTCTGACTCCCCTGGGTGATGGGAATCTTGGAAAGAGGTGTGAGGGTGTCCCCCCGACTCTGGCCTGCCTGGCTCACAGGACTGCGGGTGCCATCTCTGCCTCTGGTCTCTGCTTCTCACCAATGCTCAGCCCTGTTCTCCGTGCAGGTCGGCTTTCTCTGAGGGTGGGAACACTGCCCTCAGTCATCCTGGATCCTGCAGCTTACGGCCTCAGCCACTGGAATGGGACTGGCCCAGCTCCCGCCTCAAGGCCAGAGCCCTGGGGAGGGATTCCCTGGGCGCCTTGGGTCAGGGGCCACTGTGGACCTATGAACTGTGCTGGGAGGGTGAGCCGGGGACAAGGAGGGGACACCAACCTGGAAGAAGGGACGGCAGGGCTGGCCAGACATTCAGAGCCCTCCACTGAAAGCCTTGAATGGAGACACAAGTACGGCATGACTTGATAGTTACACATTTCTCAAAATGTGGAAGTCAGGACAGAATTTGTTTAGCCATAGTTTTGATTTTAATTATAAATCAGTAACTGTGACAAAATTTTCAGGAAAGATAGGATAGGTTATGAATAAGGGTGCTCTCGTGGTTCTAGTTCAGTTTAAATCTTCAGCCATTTACTTTACTTCCAAATCTGAGTATGAAATGGTTGAATGATTCCATTGTATCTTCTGTGGGAAGAAAATGTACTTTTCATCTTCCTCTTATCTCTGCAACTAAAACTATTCGTTTGAAGACTGGAGGGTGTGTACAGGACCCTCACTGGCCCCCACACCTTGGGGTGTTCTCCTTGGCCCCTCAGAGGAGTGGCTCTGGGCTCCTGATTAACCCTGAAACCCATGGGGCGTGCCTGAAGAAAGGACAGCATCTGGTCAGCAGAGGAAGAGAAAACCAGGGTTGCTGGACAGAAGTCGCAGGGAGATGCTTTGGCTTGGTGTGAGGGAGGACTTCGCGCTGCTCGGCGAGTGTAGAGCAGCCGCCACGGGAGGCCAGGTCTGCCCTCGGACACAGGCGTTCAGGGTGCTCTGCTGACCGGGAATCAGCGTGTGTGTTAGTGGCCAGCTAGTTGTTGAACACATGCCTCAGGGGCGTTGTGCTCGCTGCCCGGCACTGTGCCAGGTGCTGGCAGCATTGCGGTGAGTGGAATGCAAGCCCCGTGGAGCCACGGTCCAGTGAGCCTCACAGACAGACGGGCTGAGCTTGTAACACGGGCCATGTCCAAATAAACGCGGGGACGAGCACATCTGAGGAGGACCTGTGCTGGGGTTGTGGTGAAGGCCTCGCTGAGCAATGACACCCAAGGGGAACCAAGTGATGGGCGGAGCTGAGAAAGGCCTCTGGGCAGAGGCCAGCAGGTGCCTTGGCCCTGTATTCGTCGGGGAGGTGGGGCAGTGGCAGCCCTCCCATCTGTGTTTTTAAATAAAATGTTTCGATTTTATGACTATTTGGATTACTTTGTAATAAATATTTAAGTAGCCTTTGCTCTGCTTATGTGCCATAGTGTTAATGTTTTGGTTTGGATTTATCGTCTGCCATGGACTGGTAAAGCAGAGCTCGAAACCACTGTGAATACCAGTTATCATCGCTTCGCATTTATGTGAAAGACGGGTCTTGATACCGTATCTCGTGCACGACTGCCTTTCTTCAGTGAATTCTAATCTTGCTTCTTCGGTTCTGGTGGTTGCAGGAGATGAAGAGTGAGTTAAAAATGAAGCAGGACGCCCAGGTCATCCTGTACAGAAGCTACCGGCATGGAGACCTTCCTGACATTCAGATCAAGCACAGCAGCCTCGTCGCCCCCTTGCAGGCTGTGGCCCAGGTCTGTCCTTGCTGCTTTGTTTTCTGTTGACACGTGACAGTCTCTGTTTACTGTTCGGGGTCTGCTGTGTGTCAGGGAGCATGGCTGAGGCTGGTCTGTGTCATAGAGAGGTGTTGATTTGTCCTCAACAGTGGACTTGGTGTGAAGTCCTGGCTCTGCCATTTCCTAGTTCCATGGCTTCTCGCCACATAGTGAGCCTCTGACTAGAGTTATCTAGAATCTGGCCCTAAAACTGGGTGTCCACGTCAAGTCCATAAATGCTCTGAGCCACTGGTCTCCGTCTATAAAATCAGAGAGTAAAATCCATTTTCCTTATCCAATAGTGTTAGTCAGAATGAAATAACGTGAAAAATATCATTATAAGCTTTAAAATGCTAAGCCACTCATATCATTGCTTATACAAAATCCTTTTTGGGGGGCATTGGAGAAGTATCAGTTTATCAGTGAGATCAGTATTCCTTCTCTGGTTATTTGCTCAGTGACAGAGATTGGAAATATTTTTCTATGCCTTACAACGCAAAAGAAAATGTCAAGAGTGAATGAAATTTTTTAGCTGAGTCCTTTGAAAAAAACAGGATATTTATCCCCCAAAGGCCTGCTTAAGATCCCTTTTATTGAAATAATAATTTTAAAAATAAAAAAACTATTGTAATATATATAACATTATGCTAGGTACTGAAATATAATACCTTATATTTTGTTGTACTTCAGTATTCAATACTTTATTGATTTTAGTAACAGATTACATCTATGTGGCCTTTTACTATTTTTTAAAGTTTTTTAAGCTTTTTATTGAATCTAAATAATTATAGATTGACAGGAATAGTAGTACTATTTTGCAAAAATAGTAGATAATCCATGCACCCCTCCCCCAGCTTCCCCTAGTGGTGACATCTTGTGTAACTATAGTACTGTGTTAAGTGTTGACTAGACCGCAGGCCTTGGTCAGCCTCCCCTGCGTTCAACCTGCATGTAGACTCAGGGATCACCACAGCAAAGCCCTATGTTATCGTGAAATGTGTTCCGATTCTCCCAGTGATCTGTGACTTGGAGGCAGTTATTAGAGCTGTTGATAGATGAATTGAAGGTTAGCAAAGCTTGAATCATACGGTGTGAGCCATAGGTCTCGCTGGGCTGGAGCAGGGACGAGACCCTGTCGTTCTACACTTTGCTGCTGCCCAGCTGCTAGCACCTTGTGTCGCTGCCTCTGTAGGGATGTCGACACTGCTCTCTAGCATACCCTGTCCATGCTAGGGAGAGCCGTGGCCTGAGACTGGGGAGAGACCTGTGTCCGAGGTAGGACCTCTCATTTGTACTTGGAAAAAATAAAGATGGCTGAGTATTGTTTTGTAAAAGCATGTTTCTGTTCTTTGAGGAATGTGTTGCCTTATATTTCTCAAATTTGAGTACTTTGTTTATTTAACAAATGCTCATTCATGGAGTGCCTCCTGTGTGCCAGGACTGTTCTAAGCACTGGGGTGCAGTGGTGGACACGACAGTGTGCCTCCGCTGCCTTCCTGGGGTGGCCATTCTTCTAAGGGCCTCACATGTGAAAAGAATTCAAGGGAGCTTGTAAACTAGTTATCATGGGACGCTTCCAGCAGCAGCCGCAGAAGCCTACTGCTGAAGATGTTATTTATCTCAGTTACCAGCGCAGTTTTCTTAACTGAGTGAGCCTAAGTGAAGGAGTTTGTACATAGCACTCAGGAATCAGCGGGTTGTAGACGTGGAAACCTGTCCACCACCCGTTACATGAAAACAGCAGGTTACCAGACAACACTTACCATCAGTAAAAGCACACGGGCCAGTGACCATCTCTATGGAGAATAATTATGAGTGATATTCATTTTCTTCTTTTTTCCTAATCTATCTTTTCTGAAATGTTATATAGTACCCACTATAGCTTTTTATAACAAAGGCCAAGTCAGTCTTATTTATTCAAGCGCGCATGCCTTCATTTAACCAACGCAGATACTGTACGCCAGGAAGCACTCTTGGTACTGGTGTCACGGACAGGAGTAGAGGGTGGTGGTCCTGTGGCCGAGGAGTAAGCGATGGGGGAGCTGATCCCGCCAGATGGAACCGAAACTTGAAAACGGCCACTGCTGGTTTCAACAGTTTAAATGGGCAGTATGGTAGGACTTTGAAGATTAAAACTGGCATTTTATTTAAGCTCATCAGTTATTTCAGCTTTACGTTGATGCTGACACGGGGATAATACCTAGAAATCTGATCTTTCTTTAAGATCTCATCTAGCACTGCACTAAGCGCTGGTCATGTGCCATCTGGGCTCTTCTTCACCACAGCCCCAGGTGTGTTCTGGTAGCCTCATTTTAAAGATGAGGCATCGGAGACCCAGACTCAACTGAGGAAAGAAGCTGTGTGGTTATGTATTGATTAAGCTAGCTTTTAAATTCATCTCTCTGGGTTGAAAGGCTGTGCCTCTGTAACATCATGTTAGATATATTTGGTTAAATTCCAAATACTCCCCTTGTCAGTCAATGCCTGTTAAAACTTCCTGAATAGAGTTGAGATTTGCGACAGATGTGTTTACAACAGTTTGGATGTTCAAATAAAACTCTGATAGTATTGGTAAATTATAGCATTTTCACTTCAGACGCTAATTTGTTTTTGTTTTGAATTTCTTACAGAGAGACCCATTAATTGCAAAACAGCTCTTTAGCGGCTTGTTCTCTGGAATTTTGAAAGAGATGGACAGATTTAAGACAGCATCTGAAAAAAACAGTATCACTCAAAAGTTGCTCCAAGACTTCAATCATTTTCTTAATACCACTTTCTCTTTCTTTCCACCTTTTGTCTCTTGTATCCAGGTAAAAGTCTGCACAAATTTCATAAAGTATGCATTGTCTCCTTTTGCCTCACATGACTCTGTTATCATCACTGATTACAGTAAGGTGTCTAATAGAGTGATGTACTGTTTGGGTTACCCCTTCCCAAATGGGGAGGTGGGATTTATTTTTTACCAAAAAAAAACACTTGTATATGACAGAATAATCAGAAATCAAACTTGTTATGTGTGTTTATTTTGTAATAAGCCAGTCCATTCAGAGTTTGGATTAAAGCCTGCATTTTGTTTAGTCATTTTTTTCTTATGTAGTATTTTGCCAGACTCTCTCCTGCCTCCTGACTGCTCTTGACAAATACTGATCGAGCACAGGCCTGGTTTTGTTATGACTGGTGGGGCCACAGCAGGGAAGAGACAGAAATCCCTGCCCTCCCAGAACTTACATTTTAGACAGGCGCCAGGCAATCCACAGGCAACCGTGGAAGGGAACATTAGTCAATGTCATAGTACTTGAGCAGTAGGGAAGTATTAACGCAGTGTAGGGCAGTGATGAAGCAGGGAAGCGATGCCTCTGTCGGGGTGGGGTGTGTGTGTTCTTACAGATACATAGATGCAGCAGTAAGTCCTTTCTGGGCTATGTGGTCTGAGCAGAGAACACCACGTGGAGGTGTACGTTTGATGACTGCTTAAATATACTTAATGGGAGATTATTTTTCATGTAAGAAGCATTTTCTGTGCCATTCAAAACATGGATCATTACAAATTCCCTAGTAGAAAATCTTTTTGATATCATTTTAGTATTTTTGCATCTAGTAACCTCCCTGAAGTAATTACTAAATTATGTTCTTTAATATAATGTATCAGTAGTAGTAGTAGTTTGCGAACTAATTGGGTAATGATTCTCTGAGATGAAGTTACATAGTTTCTCTGTTTTGTTCCTTTTGATGTAGCATGAAACTGTTAGTATAGATTCTTTTTATATATTAGCTCTGTTTTTATTGGTTTACAATTTATAAGTAGAATTCCTTCATTTTTTTTCTCCCAGCCACCCTAAAGATAAAAAGATTTGAGTAATTGTATTGAGTCAGCCAGTATTCAGAATGAATGTTTCTCTTTACATTGTATTCTGAAGTAATCTTTTAAATCTTATTTCCTAATTTTGACCCAATATTTATTTTTTTTAAAAAAACTAGTTTTTCTGATTGCTGTTTAGGAGAGTCATTAACCAACATTGCAAAAATCAATAACTTCTAAAGCTTGCTGTTTGCCGCTGGCTGCGGAGCAAGCAGTGTGCACGGCAGTCCACGCCTGCAGTTCGCAGCACTTGCGGTGACAGCTCTCTGTGGGGCTCGTGTCTGAGGCTGTGATTTGTCTTCTCTTTCCATGTCATCATAATACCTCTGGCCCGGTATTTACATGGGTTCTTGTTTGAGCAAGGATTACTAAACTGAAAGTTTACATAACTTAAAGTTTATCTTTTGCTTAGCAAATCCATTGTTTATAAAGTAAAATGATGTAAATAGGATTGAACAGAGCAGTCAGTCTTCTTGAAAATAAACTTAAAAGAACTCATTTAAATTGTGTACACATGTACATATAAAGGAATGATATCCTAATAATAGTCATTTATTCATTAAGAGCGCTTCTTATTAGACTTCTGTTGGGCACGTGGGATAAATAAATCTTAAGCAGCACACAATCAGGGACAGCACTGCTTACCGTGGGGTCTAGAACCTAGAAGAGCACTTGATAAATATTTATAGAATAGGGAGATTACTTAGAAATTAAAAACATAAAAAAGATACTCTATCTTAAAGTGGGCTTCCCTCTCCAAATTAGGGTGATGGTGCCTCAAAATCTGACATGTCAAGACAGAGCCTTTGCTGTGTTATTAATTGAAATAGATTTTATTTGGGTTTTCTTTCCTGTACCACAAGCTCTTTTTAAGGGTGACAGCCATTTTTCCTTGTTTGATTGCTTTGGAGAATTTACATTTTTACATTAACCCTAAAGTAGAACTTAAGTTGGCTTGGCGGTAGCATGGCCGGTGACTGACGTGTAGGGAACAGCTTCGCAGGGAGGGGATGGGGCTCGTGCAGATGGTGAGGGGCTGGCTTTTCATAAAACCTATGTACAGGTTTGTTTTAATGAAAAGGCTGTCATACTATTCATGTTTTTTTTATGTTGATCTGGGGTTTATTTTTCATTACTTTGATGTATATAGGATTCTCGGAGTTACAAAGTAAAGGTCATTATAATAATTCCTGAAATCCTCTATTCAAATATTACTGAATTAACATAGCCACTGAATAGAAAAAGATGGGGGAAAAAGGTTACATAGAATAACAGGCAGAAGAATCCACTCACTTTTTGGTGATTGGATGTGAAATCTTTATGTCTCAGCTGCTTTTCTTATGAAGTCATGCTGAATATTCCTGGAAATTGCAATTATTGTCTAGATATATAGAGTATTTAAAGAGAGAAATCTTCCTATTTTGCTAGTGTTTTTCTTGCTTTAAATTGATCTCTGGTTTGGACATGTAAAAATAGAAGTCATTTCTTCTTTTGATCAAATTGAATATTGATGGAAAATTTGTTATATTATTACACAGAGAAACTTCTGGTGATACCACCACTTAACGTCAAAACTTTCTTTTATGTTTGGTAAAATGAATCACTCCTTTGTGAAGATACGGTCCAAGTACCACAGGCTCAGCAGTGGCATGTGTTTGTGGTTTCACAGGAGATCAGTTGCCAGCACGCAGCCTTGCTGAGCCTCGAGCCGGCCGTAGCCAGTGCCGGTTGCCTGGCCAGTCTGCAGCAGCCCGTGGGCATCCGCCTTCTGGAGGAGGCTCTGCTGCACCTGCTACCTGCAGAGCCGCCCGCCAAGCGTGTCCGAGGGAAGAGCCACCACCCTCCTGATGTCGTCAGATGGATGGAGCTGGCTAAGTAAGCTCGCGATTGGGCACTCTCAGGGACACAGTGAATTTGACCAAAGTAATACAGAAAAAACTCACTTTCCTTTTGACAGAAAACGAGCCAATAAAGTTGATAGTAAGACTTATGTGAAATCTTTAAAAAAATCTTTCAGTCCGAGTACCACTCCATGAAATCAAGAATAGTTGCCACAACAAGGGATGTCGTGCTCAAGGAAAGAAAACATTAATTAAACCTGTTGATTTCTTTTAGCATACAATCTTTTGGACTTACTACCACGTATAGTTTCCTGTAAAGTATGGCTATAAATTATAGTTCCTAATATTTCATGTTTTTTCCTACTTTGCAAAGTAAATACAAGATGAGTTAGTATTTTCAGCTCACTCAAAATTTTAGAAACAGTTTAATCCAGTCATTTTGTTTATTTGGGAAAAACAAATTCCCTCTTGTAGTTAGGTCATTTGCCTCGTGTCTGACTCTTCCCCTACCTGTGGTTTTATAACATGAAATTTGCCAGGACCTGATTATGAGAAGAATGTTACATTGAGGTTGAAATTTAACTTGAACTTCTTTTTTGTAGTGCTGATTTTTAGAGCATTAGGTTCTAGGAAAAAAATATAATAAAAGTAAGGTTGGGGCTCCTTGCGCTTTCTGCTGATTTGTAGTTAGTTCATTAGTGCACACGTTTCTTTTTCTTTTTTTTTCCTTGAGATAGAGTCTCACTCTGTTGCCCAGGCTGGAGTGCAGTGGCTTTATCATAGCTCACTGCAGCCTGCAACCTCTGGGCTCAAGCAATCCTCCTGCCTCAGCCTCCCAGGTAGCTGGGACTATAGGTGTGTGCCACCATGCCCAGCCGATTTTTTTATTTTTAGTAGGGATGGGGTCTCACTATTGTTCAGGCTGGTCTTGAGCTCCTGAGCTCAAGCAATCCTCCCACCTTGGCCTCTCAGAGTGCTAGGATTACAGGCGTGAGCCACTGTGCTTGGCCCATGTGTTTCATTTCAACTGAACACCAAGTATGGCAGGGGCTGAGCCAGGCGCTGAGTGGATTGTGCAAGGGGACTAGACGGTGATCCCAGACTCACAGAACTAGCAACCCAGTAGGGAATGGGTGCACTTCCCACATAACTAACCACAACATGAAGCAGGAGGTGGTGAGCACCCAGAGAGGCAAGGTGGAATGCCAGGGCTATCCAGAGAGGGCCTCTGGGCGATGCCAACTCCACCCAGGAGCTGTTTTATCCCACTGCCTCCAATGTGTAAGTGACACCTTGTATGTTTAGTATTTATAGAGTGAGAAACCCATACAATGTGTATTTGTTTAATAAATGGAGCATATAACTTTTAAGGGCCTAAACTTTAAACATTTTTTTTCTAACTTGATTAAATACTCCCTCATACTTTTGTGTGTAATATTTTTGCATTCCTCAGAGATAGAGTATTGTGAACGTAATTTAGCCTTTTCTTGATATGTCATTGTCACTGTTTTGACCCTGTTACAGTGAATGTAATCCGGGGACCTGGGGACCAGTGCAGGGTGGACATAAAGTGGTCTCCTTTCTGAGTTCATGGAGAACGTGTGCAGTGCTCGTCTCCTCCTCGATCCTTGGGCTGTGAGCTGCTGTCCACTGCCCACCTACCCACTTTTGCCTCCGATTTGTTACATTTAACCCTCTACGATCAGGGCAGTAAGAGCCACATCTATTAGATTTTTATATAAATTCAAAAATCGTTAGGCTCTGGGGTGACCCCGCAGGGCTCTTTTGATGTGAATACAAGAAATCTAGTACCCGGCCAGGAAGGGAACCCAACAGCAGGAGAACCAAGGAGCAAGCAGTCCCTGGCTCCTGGTCAGATGACTGCATGTTTAAGAAGAGAGGATGTTTGGGTTGAAACTTGAAGATGGAGGAAGGGAAGAAACTGAATAAACATTTACTTGAGAATATCATGGAAGGGCAAGCTTTGTTGACAGGGTCTAGCCAGAATTTTGTTAAGGTAAAGAGATGAACGAATGCTGTAGTAAATATGGAGGCTACAAGGAAATTGCTTGTCAGTGGAATTGAGATGGTCCATAGAACGTGGATTAAACATGGCATCTACAGGGTCGGGGGTATTTTTTACTGGCTTCTGGGCATTTTAGGACTATGCAAAGATTCCTAAGAGCTCACCTACAGATAATATAATGGATTAATACTGAAGACTCTAATACTTTGTAAACCTTTGATATTTTCAGATTTTACTTTAAATGCACATTAGAATAATTTCTGCCCTCTGTATAACTATAGTAGTAAAACCTAAGGGTAGCCTCAAAGTTTATAACATGTTATATATCTTTTTTTTGTTTGAGACAAAGTCTTGCTTTATCAACCAGGCAGGAGTACAGTGGTGTCATCATAGCTCGAATTCTTGGGCTCAAGCATCCTCCTGCCTCACCCTCCTGTGTGCAAGACTATGCCCAGCCAATTTTTTTAATTTTTTTTTTTTTTTTTTTAGAGATGGGGTCTTGATGTGTTGCCCAGGCTGGTTTTGAACTCTGGGCCTCAAAGCGATCCTCCTACCTCAGCCTCCCAAAGTGCTGAGATTACAGGAGTGAGCCACCATGGCAGGCCTAGTTAATATAATATGTGGCATCTTGATTTAATATCATTTCATTAGAATAAATACTTTAAAAATATTATAGTGTTCATTGATTTGGACCTTTTTTTGGTTTGTTTTATAGGCTATATAGATCAATTGGAGAATATGATGTCCTCCGTGGTATTTTTAGCAGTGAGATAGGAACAAAGCAAATCACTCAGAGTGCGCTTTTAGCAGAAGCCAGAAGTGATTATTCTGAAGCTGCTAAGCAGTATAATGAGGTAAGATTGGTCTCTAGCAAATGTGTCAGTTGCTTGTTCTCTGCATGAAATGTGACTTTAAGCAAAATGAGGTACAGCAGGTCCTCAAATGTAGTTCATTCAATGTCTTATTATAATGCTGATGAGAAAAAGTTGGTTTCATTATACTTGGGTTCACTGAAAGTTGCAGTTTCTAAGAACTATTGACAATGTTAAGTGAGGGTCTACTATACTAAAAACTGAACAGTGTTATTTCTATGTCTGCTATTATTATGCAATTTCTATTTGAGTAGGTTGTCTTCTTTTAATAAGTAAAAAATGTATAAACTAAAGAGGAATTGGGGAAGGTGACTAAGTTCAGTTTTGTGCATTTTGTGCTCTTGAGTTGCTGCGGCCATCTGAGTGTTGGTGTTGAAATTCAGGGTCCGTGACCTGTGAGACTTGGGAATGAGCAACCCAGGCTTTAAAATCCTCTGTGATTTTCTGCAAATGCCCTATATTCTAATTTTTATTCTAAGAATTTATTAAGTCATAAATAACCCATAGCATTGATTTAAATAAAATTATGGGTCATTAAAAGTCTTCAGTCTTACTGATTGGCTTCATTGGTAAGTTTCTTTGAGAAGTGGCTTCCTCCTGGTTGGGTTTTTATATTCATTTGTTACTAGAAGATTCCTTTTGTTTTTTCTTCCTTTCAGTGCTACTATGAATATTTTCCCTTTTCTCTCCCTTGCCATAAAGCTGAAAATGATTGTCTGTAGTTTGATTGTTACACTGCCTCCTTTTTTACATGTTTTCATTTGTATTCTTTCCAAATGTGTAAAATAATCTCACTAACTTTTCTCTGCCAGGCTCTCAATAAACAAGAGTGGGTAGATGGTGAGCCCACGGAAGCCGAGAAGGATTTTTGGGAACTTGCATCCCTTGACTGTTATAACCACCTTGCCGAGTGGAAATCACTTGAATACTGTTCTACAGCAAATGTAGACAGCGAAAACCCTCTGGATCTAAATAAAATGTGGAGTGAACCGTTTTATCAGGTAGGTAGAATTATTTTTAATTTACTAAAATAAATATTTTAGATGGTTAGGCATTTTCCACTTAATAAAATTGTTTAAAACTTTTCAAAAACAAGGAAGTAGTTGCGAAGGATTAGGATATTTATATAACCTGACTCCCCCACAAACTCCATTGTACTGTTATATCTCTCATCACTTTTAGCTAACCGTTTCAAAATAAATGGGATGCATTTTAAAATAAATGTTAACGTCTCTGGCATGACTGCATGGAAGAATATTTCCTCTTGTCTCTCGTATTACGAGGGTTGCCCTGGATCAGTGGCTACACACAGGCTGCCTGACTCCTGGGGCAGGTGCCTCCTGGTGCTCCCACATACCCCTCTCTGACAGTGCTTGTGAATTCCTTAGTTTGTATGTAACATACAGATCATCTAACAGCTGACAGTAGTTTCTGTTTTCTTTAGAACATGTTCCTATATATTTTGTGGTTACAAAACAAACTTATTTTAGATGAACTTGTTTCTAAAATTGTAGTTTTGGGTTTGAAACATCAAATATCGTCACTTTGGCTTTAAATCTTAACCTATGAAATTAGAGCAAAGAATATTATAGAAATAAAATTATTAGACACACTCAAATCAGCTCTCTGAAGTTACAAGCAGATTTTTCAATTCCTCAGGAGACATACCTACCTTACATGGTCCGCAGCAAGCTGAAGTTGCTGCTTCGGGGAGAGGGGGACCAGTCCCTGCTGACGTTTGTGGACGAAGCCATGCGCTCAGAGCTCCGGAAGGCCCTTGTTGAGCTGCAGTACAGCCAGGAGCTGAGTCTGCTCTACGTCCTGCAGGACGACATGGGCAGAGCCAAATATTACATCGAGCAAGGCATTCAGGCTTTTATGCAGGTGACACAGATAGATTTGTCTGAAATATACCATTGTTATGGTATTTTTGAAAGGCAGTAAACTCTTGAAAAAATTCAGCAAAATTATCAAGTGCTATTTCATACTACCCATTTCCTCCTTTCTGTCCTTCCAGTTTGTTCTACTAGTGCTCTTTACTCTGTCCTTTGTCTGAATGCTTTTTACATTTTTCTTTTCTGTTTTAAAAAAGTTGCATTTTTTTGTTTTTCCTTTAGTTCTCACCTTTCTCATACCGTTAAAGAACACTTTGAGAATAGACTTTTCCATTTGGAGTAACGGAACAGAGGTTTGGATGCTTTGTGTAGAGTAGGGATTGATCTTGCCTGTTTGTTTTCTGCTATTCTTTCTTTCCTTGTGCTTTTCTGAGAGTCTTCTCCTGACTGTTGTCTGTTCATTTGTGTAGAGGCTGTTAACAACATTTAGCATATGTGAATAACATTTTGCATAAAAGCGTACTCATTTATTATTTTAATTTTTATTTAACCGTTTTGAAGTTGATTAGTACACTCAAGAGGAAGTTTTTCAAGAAAAAAGAACTGACTTCTGTAGTTGGCAGTTTTACATTAGAGGATGTGGGATTTTAAAAAATTGGCAAATAGAAACAATGATAGCCTGATTATATTCATTTTGTTCATTTTATTGAACTAAAATGTGACTGAAATTATTTTTTTAAAATGTAAACCATTTGTTAATTGTTTCTATGACCTAATTATTAACTACTCCAGGTCATATTGGGTAATTGCTATATTTATAGAGTAGTTGCTATATTTCATGTTTTAGAGAACTGCATTAAAAATTCAAAGTCAAAACTTGATTTATAACAGTGCTGAATGCCTTTTCTTAGAATTATTCTAGTATTGATGCCCTCTTGCACAGAAGTAGACTCACCAAATTGCAGTCTATACAAGCTTTAACAGAAATTCAGGAGTTCATCAGCTTTATAAGCAAACAAGGTAATCTTTTTTAATCTACCATTATTTTTTTCAATTTTAATTATGGAATAGTTTTAGCATCTGATTTTTTTGCTTAGTGAAAGTACGTGTTTCTTAATTTATGATTTGGAAACTGCATTGAATTTGTTCTCCAAAAATATATTTTAAGATCATCGAAATAAATGTTTTATTCCTTCTTTATGCACTTAAAAAGAAAAAAGAAAGAAAAGAAAAAGAATGAAATAAATGTTTTAAATGGTCAGGTATTGTTCTAGGCACTGGGAATGCAAATTGAAATAAAACATATTGCCTAGCTTGACAAAGCTTTCAGAGTGGGGATGACTCCAGAGGACACACACCACGTGGTAGGGGAGGGTGCGGGTGGCAGTGGCCAGATCAGGAAGGTTCTTGTGCCTTTGGGAGGCCATCCCAGAGTCCGAGGCAATGAGTACATCTTTTCAAAGGTAAAATGTCTTAGTTGTAAATCTGAATTTCAATTTTTGTCCTAATAATTAAAAATAATTATGAAAGACACTTCAGAATACTAATAAAAATTGGTATTCGTATCTCTCTACCTAATTGTTCTGTATTTTAAATTTGGAGAATTATTTTTCAAGTACATATTATTTAATGATGTGTATTCATTAGGTGCTTTCTGCTTTTCAGGAGCTATTTTAATCTCTATCAGTATTACTTGGGTTTTTGTTGTGTTTTGTTTTGTAAAAACAAACACTAAAAGTGTTTTTTTGTTTATTTTTTGAGACAAGGTCTCTGTTGCCTGGGCTAGAGTGCTGCAGCATCATCATAGCTCACTGCAACCTCAAATACCTGGGCTTAAGCAATCCTCCTGCCTCAGCCTCCTGAGTAACTGGTACTACAGGCATGTGCCACCATGCCTGGCTAATTTTTCTATTTTTTATAGAGACGGGATCTCACTATGGTGCTCAGGCTGATCTCGATCGAACTCCTGGCTTCGGTGATGCTCCTGCCTTGACCTCCCAAAGTGCTAGAATTAGAGGCATGAACCACTGCACCTGGCCTACCTTGTTTTTTTTTTTTTTTTTTTTTTTTTTTTT